AAATTATTTTATGATTTAAAAGAACAAGCAAAGAAATAGAAAACAATACAAAAAGAGAAAAAGAAACTAACAAAGAAATAAAAATGAAAATTGCATGAATTCCGATACACATAAAAATTTAGGAGAAAAAACTAATAAAAAGAAAATTAAATATAATATAAAAGTAAATAAAGCAAATAAATCAAACAATTCAAAAAAATATATTAAAAATAAAATTCAAAATATTCTTATTGAGCTTCAAGACAACATTAGAAAAGGACAGGAAAAAGAACGAGAAAATAAAATATATATGTAATATTAAATACAAAGAGAATGGAACAAAAAGAAATATTGAAACTGTTCTTGTTTTCTGTTGTTTATCACATATATTGTATTTTATTATATAATTTTTTATTATATAATATTATATTATAATAATAATTTATATATATATAATAAGTAACAAAAAATGAAAACAGTGATAAAATTATAGAAAATAGTTAATATTAAAAATAATATCTAAAATAAAAGTGTTAACTTAAGTGTTAGATTAATAGAAAAAAAATATTTCAGCAAAGTAAATTACAAAAATTTGGAAAAATTAAATCATTAATATATTTTAAAAATATGCATACACATTATAAATTAAAAATACCTAAAAAAATAAATAGAAAAAATAAAAAAATCATATTTTTATTATTCATATTATATATTTATATATTTTATAATAATTTAGTATACTTTATTTAAATTTATAGATAAAAAAATAAATATTAAATGTAATTAAAAATAACATATAGAGCGCAAAAATCTAAACATAAGATATAGTAAAAATTTTTATTTTATTATTATTATTTTACATATTCTTATATATTATTTATAACTTTTTTACTTTATAACTTTTGTATTATATATTATAAAATTTATAACTTTATACAAAAATGTAAGAGAGAAAAAAAAAATGTAAATTGAAAAACAATAAAAAATGAAAAAAAAAACACTAAAATTAAAAAAATAAACATTAATATAAACATAATAATTTTCGTGAAATAAAAATCCAATACCATATGTGTAGTAGAATTATTAACAATGTGAATTTTATAAAAGAAATTTATTTTTTTTTTAATCGTGAGAAAATCTTTTGATAGTTTATAATGGAAACAAACAATAATTATATATATAGTTAATGAAAAAATATATTTCATAATTTTTTTACGCAACTATTATACTCTATATATTTTACTCTACTCGATAACTATATATATTTAATAAAATTATTCGAAAAAATGCTTTTTTTCTCTAAGATTTGGATAAATTCTCATATTGCAATATCGGCAATGCTGACACTTTCCTAAATTTTAACCGCACTTTTTTTATAACTATACAGCAATGCTATCTTCCGACAGAAATTATATCCCTATACCAAAGGAAAAAGTAAAATTAAATTAAATTAATTAAATTAAAGCTATAAAATGTCTCTCGATATATACAATATTATCAATAAAAATCATGATTCATGATTTTTATTGTCATTAAATCATACATTGAATTTAGTCTTGATTTCCCTAGATTTTGATTATGTAGTTTTATTTATTTCCAATATAACTTGCAATGATTTAGTAAATACAGACAAATGTATTATAAATTTCCTTTTTATAAAAATAAATTTTTGTGACAGTAAATGATTTTTGAGCAATAATATCTATAATTTTTTATCCAATAATTAAATCGTGTTGTATATTAAGTAAGTACATATTTGGTTTAGTACATT